CAGAATCCCCACCCGCCCGCCCGCCCGCACCGCTGCATCTCTCTTGAGCCAGATGTTACTCAGCTGCAATGCGGAGCTGTGCTGTGACTTCCGTGGCGCACGTCTAGGCATATGTGGGTATGGGTGATGCACTTAACGTTCAGGAAGCAGTGGGTAAAATACAGAAACAGTCCTAGAAGCAAGAGCAACAGCCCAGGGTTTTGTGCTTTCCAGGACAGTGTCCTCCTCCCTGGGCACAGAAATTGGTCCCTGATGCTTTCTTCTTCTGGCACCTTAGCTCTTGACTGCTTAATGAGTCAGCTTGATGAGGAGAGTTGTTTAAGGCATCTGACTCACAGGCTGGGAGTCAGGGTTTTTTGCTGGGAGGTTGAGATGTGAGTTCAAACCCTCTGCAGCGGAGCGGGCCTAGAAGCCCTCTCATGCCCAGAGCAAGTCCCCTATTACCACTAGGCTATGGGAGAAAGGTGTTTATGCTGCTAATGTAGGTCAGGTGCAGACATTACACTTTTACCAGTATAAGTCATTGGAAACTGGTCTATACCTGTAACAGAACAGAAGTTGGGCACACAAAGACTGGTTTAAAAATGGCAGAGCCAAGTTCAAGGTTTGCACCCCCTCCCTCCCCACAAAGGAGAAGCGTGTGTTCTGCTCGCTACCGACCTAAATGACACCGCTTACAGAAAACAGTGCAAGTTAAATAGATCCTGCCTCAGCCTTTTGAATGTCTGTACCTAGCCATAGATGTCTAGCTGCCCAGACAAAAAGGGGGCAGAGGGAAAGCAGGACTCTGAGCAGCTGGATGCCCACTACCCCGGGTTAAAATATCCCACTGGTGTGAACGGAGATTGATGCATCTCCCTAATTGCAAATCCAGCTCCAGAGGCATCAACCTGCTGGCTGCTGGGACCTGTGTCCAGCACTGTGTCCCCGCAGGTGGAGGTAGTAGTCACCTCTGGGGGTGTGTAAGCTCCATACTTGTGCCCCACCAAAAGAATAGGAGAGCTGTGTGTCTACACAGGCAACACTGGACGTCTTTCTCACTACATGCCAGACCTAAAGTGGCTGAAGTAGGATTTCGCTCTATGAGGTTCTCCCTAATATTCCTTCCCAGGGCAGGGGCAGTAGCTCCCTCAAAAGCACTTTCCTTTACCACTCCCACCTCCCCACCACCCCAGAAAGCATGACCAGCACCCCTATACTTCAATCCACAATCCCAATTTATTAAAACATGAGGCCATCTTTCATTTACTTCCTCTTTATTTCTGTTTACATTTTTTTTTTTAACTTTTTATTTTATCCTTCAGTGGCTGACTTCCTTCATTTCACCACCCTTCCCCCCTCCCTCATTTCCTTTCCACCTCCCCTTTCATTACCCACCCCTATCCCATTAACTCTCCACCTCCCAGCTTCAAGTCTGTCCCCCCCCTCCAATCTCTCACACCGCTGTCCATAGAGCAGGGATAGAAACCTGTCCTGGCTCACCAGGCCTCTCGTGGCAAGTCACAGTTGTGCAAGCAGGGGACACTCAGAAGGTTTTTAGCCTCAAGGTGTGACTGCTCCAAACTCGAGTGTGTAACAAGGGCCAGAGGTAACCTACCCTGGAATGGCAAAACTTTAAGCTGTCTAAAGTGTGCTGGAGACTAGTTTCAGGTGTTAATATGTGGACAATCCAGGGGTTAAGGGCTCCGGGAGCTGCCTACAATTAAAGCCCTAATAGGGGTTTTTTGGCTCATGAGTTAGAACAAAGGTGCCCCAGATCCACCGAGGACCTGCTTTAGGTGCTGAAGTCCCTCATTGGAGCCAGCTCCCCAGCCTCTGATCACATCTGTGTCCTCTCTTGACCCACTTGTTCATCCATCCGCGTCCCAGCAGACAAAAATTATGGGCACTTGGAGGCATGAATAAAATAGACTCCATTGTCTCATGACAACTATTCAGCCTTAATTACTGGAAAGCACTTTGAATGCTTTAGGTATTAAAGCACTTAAACACCACTAAGTTCTAGTCTTTATTCCTCCAAGGAAGTGTAACAGTTAATAGCCTCCAGTTCACTGCTGCTTATTGGATCCAACCTATCTGCAATCTAGATCTTGCTACGTTATTCGTCATCGTTGCTGGTAGGGCACTCACCTTGGGAAAGGACCAGGATTGCAGTCCATTCTCCAATTAAATATTTACTGTAAAGCTTTGGTAGAAGACAGTCCCTAGCCCACCTCCCAGAATAGCTTTGAGCCTGGTGGTTGTAGCGCTTTCCAGGCAGGTGGGAGATGGGTGTTTGCAACCTTCCCCTAGAGAAAGGAATTAAAACTACATGTCCTACTTCTAGTTCTGTCTCCTAGGGTTTGGGGTTCAGTAAGGCAGCACCTACCCTCTTATCCCTTCTGGCTGTGTTTTGGGCACAACATGATTTGGGGTAATGCCTTCCTGTTGGCATCAGAGCAGGCCCTGCACAAGCGGCAGAAAAGAGACCATGCGCTCTGTGAAGCCCAGAAGGGCCCCAGTCACCCAGATGCTCAGACCCTGTCTTCATTATGGACTCAGGTGTCCCAGGCTGGGATCTTCGTAGGCCTCAGGCCTTGTGAAAGGGGCCACAAAGTGACGCAGCCTCAATGTTTAGCCATGAAACAGATGCAGCAGTAGGAGCAGCACCAGGCTTTCTACCCAACCCGTGTATCTCAGCCCTGAGGGAAGGCTGCACTGCAGGGTGTGAAAAAGGCAGTTCTGGTTTTCGGCCTTGTCAGGCCTTTGCCTCTTGTTTGAGACAAGGATGCCAATTCATACCCCTCTGTGGTGGGTTTGTGGTATGCATTATTGACCACTGAGCGCTGGCCTGAGACTGCTGGCCTCACATCATACGCTGCATCCAAGAGCCGTCATCTGCCGAGAGCTCATAGCAGCCACAGCTGGATTTGGATCCCATGAGCGTCCCACAGCATCCTAATCTGTTGTGTGCTGTAGCAGACAGTGAAGTAGATGGGCTCAGAAAGCTAGGACTCCTTTTTCGCAGGGGATTAGTGGCACAAAGGAGTACTGCCAGTGCTGCCCGTTAGGTGGTGATGTTGCTATTTGTTGAGCTGTTGCCTCACTCTTTTTAATAGGGATAGAGGCATCCACATGAAAAAAGGTCCTAGGAAGAGGTGCTCTCTGTGAAGGAGAAAAGTTAATCTTCCCTATTAATCATTTAAAGCGCAACCACTTCCTTTTCCTACACATGGTTGGGTGTGTGGTTTTTTTAATCATCCTTCACTGGGAAAATAGTAATGCCAAAATATTCCCTTTTGGGAACTGAAGGAGCGGAGTCTCTTCCAACGACATGGCATCTAAGTAGACTTAAGTGCCTAAGTGTGGTTCTGTTGTACCTTGCTCAAGTCCATGAAAAGCCATTTATGAATCTATCTGTGCAACTTAAAGTCACCGGCCCCTTTGGACTGAGTCACCAAAGGAGACAGAGGACACTCACCTATGGCATTAACTGATTTCTTGGGGATCAAGCAGAGTGAAACGGAATCATGCTGAGGTGCCTAAATCCTCTCTTGTGCCTCATAGGTAGATTTGAATCTGGCTGTGAATGTCTTCACCTAAATTGATATGTAGGGCCCTACATGTTGCAAGACATTGGGTACCCAGAAGTTTGTTTGACCTATGTGAGAGCTGCGGCTTTGAAAATCGAGCTGCTGGTACACCAGTGCCTAATTTGAAGCACCCATGTTTAAGAAAAAATGACTTACGTGTTTGGATCTCTCTCTGAATAATGGAAAAAACTTTGTTGACTTAAGTACATGAGATGAGGACTGAGCCCAGCGTTCTGAATATAAATCTCTGGAAGTGAGACAAGAAAGAGCTGGTTTCATATCAAATTAGAGAGGGTCAAAAATATCCCAAAAGACAGCTCTTCACCTGCAGATTGCAGTTCAGCTACAGAAAGCAAGGACGCTAAGGGCACAGACAGAAGTTATGTTTGCCATGCAAGCAGCCCCCTGAAAGCGCTCTACAGCTATGCTCTACAGCACTTTTAAAGTGGCTGATCGCAGCACAAAGTAGCCCTCATCAGCTGAGGGATCAGATGAAGGTGCTCCACTTTGGAGTGCCTTAGGGTACTTGTGTTCCCTAGGCTTGGGCTGGGCTGATGCAGCCCTGCCCTGCCCTGCCCACGGTGCTGTCTACAAGAAGAGAGAGGGAAAGGGAGAAGGGGAGCAAAGTGCAGCTGGGGTTTGCCCAGCCTAAGCTGGAGGCAGGCTGGGTAGATTGGAGCCCCCACGCTTCACGGCCCCCTCCCAGCCCTGCCCCTCCAGCTCAGGCTGGGCAAACCCCTGCTTGCAGCTTGCTCCCTCTTCCCCAACCACCCTCCCTTCCTGCAGACAGCACGGGAACTGGGAGAGGGGGGCAGAGCTAGGAGAGAGAGGCTGCAGGCAGGCTCCTGGGCTCCTGCAGGCAGGCTTGATCCCCTGCCTCAACCCAACAGGTGAACTTTGTTGTGTCGTGGTGGGGAGTGCTCGAACTCATGGTGCTTTGTGTAAAGCACCATGAGTTAGAGCAGGGGCTGAACGTCTGTCAGTGCCCAAAGGTACTTGGATAAAGATGAAGTTGAGTGGGTAATGAAAGGTCTGGCAGTGAGAAGGGCCTGATGTTTCAGAGGAATACCCCATAAGCTGCTTGTGCAATACCATCCATGATGGTGATGCAAGGAAAGTGTCTCCCTGCACAGATCACCTTGCATGCCAAGCTCTGGGAGCTGCTGCCCCACACCACTTTTTGCTGTGACGCCACAGTCTCACTTGGCAACTCCACTTGGCTTCACTGCAGATCAGCAGATCTACAACAGTTGAGGATTTTGCTTGTCCAATGCTACTTATGCAGATGTCCCAGCGCTGCATCCTGGGACTAGATACTCCTGGTCATAAAAGGTCTTAGCTTTTTCTGAAACCCTGCTCTGTGACCCAGAGGGGAAACCTCTCTCGACTGGTTGCTCAATGTGCTGTTTAACTCTTCATTGAGATGCCGGTCCAGACTGGGTATGAAACAGGCAAGGAATCAGTCATTCTTTGCCTGTGAGTATTAGAAGAAAAACCTGTGTGATTTGCCTGGCACAGGAAAAACAAAAGCTAATAAAGCCCCAAGCAAGAAATGACTGACAGCGATCATGCAAAATGGAAAGGAGCACAAGCTCAGGATTACACGCACACAATGCAAGGATCCACTGAACAGCCATCACCGCTTCCAAGCAACTGAGTCAAGAACCTCTTGATGCCACCAACCGTGACCCTGCATTTGCCCACAGTGGTGCCTGCAGTGTGCCTACTGGCCCGATTCCACTCTTATTTCCACATTAAATCAGGCAGAGCACTGCCAGCTTCCATGGCATTGCCTTTGCACCAACATCAGACTCCATCTGGCCTGTTGGGCATGGGGTGCACGTTAAATATACTCTGGCACCATTGGCTTGGCAGAACCTGCAGTGGCTTAGTGGCACTAATTGGCAGTACCAGAATAGCCTGGTAGGATATTTTAGGGAGGCTAAGAGCCAGAAAGCTGATTTTTTTCCCTTTCGTTTTGAGGCACCAGAAACAGAATTAAAAGAAAATAGACTAGGCAGATTTGTGGCCTTTTACAAGTCAGTCTTATAAAAATAAAGTGTTTGTCACTTTAAAGTTATGGCCTTGCAGAGACATGATACTGAATCACTGAAGGAAATTCCTCCCGGGCCTTCTCTTGCATACTATTCAAATCAAACATAAACTCCTCTTGGCACAAAGAGGCTATTATGAAGTCTGCTGTTATTCTATGTGCTGCCAGCTCCTGCTGCCACTGTCCGGGAAGACTCAGCAAATGAAGGAGGTGCAGAAGGGAGAGACAATGTCCTGAGCTTGTTTATCCTATCACATGCCCACACCACCATGTGGCTGCCCTTAGGTGGGAACAGAGGCCGCCCCCTGAACACCATGGCAGGAGTCCCATTAATGCAAAGCAAGCTAGATCAGGCTCCGCGAACCCTTTCATGCTGGAACAGCAAGTCCCCAGTCACTGGGAGAGGCAGGCAGTACTAGCCAAACCCACAGAGCTGGAGATGTCTGCCTATGCTCTATACTTTTAGCCAGTGTTGTCATTAGGAGAGATAGAAAACCCACTCCAGTCGCCGACAGTCTTTCCATTGACTTGAGTGGACACGGGCTGAAGCTGCTGGGTCTCAGATGCCGTGGTGATGGGCACAGCGGAAGGACATGGCTAGAACAGCATACTCTTTCAGCTTAGAAAAATGTGCAGTGCTGCATAAAGCCATCATTACCGTTTCCCGATCCCTTCAGGACCTAAACCCATTACTCACAGCTCATATGGCTGATGAATCAATACAATGGGGTCTATTCTTCTCTCAATTGAAGTACAATTAACATAACGGGAAATAATATGCACAGACTCCATAAATTAAAATTATGACTAAACAGCTCCTTATGTGTGGGGGAAACACATGCCATCTTCACAACTAACAGTGTGTTACATAATAGTCATTACGGTGGGGGGTTTTTTTGTTTTTTTTAATTATTATTACTTTTACAGCTGAGAAAATCGTTCCTAACAAATAGTGTATTCACTACAGTTAACCTCTTTCTCTGCTTTGGGAGTTGATCACAGCCTTGAAAAATGCAGCCACTTTTGGAAACTGTGCAAAAATTATGAAAAGTGCATTTCATTTGCTCTTTGGCTTGTTATTCAATATTCCACAGTTATGATTTACACTACTCAGGCACCTTGGGCTGGAAACAGCTCTGCCATGGGTGTAGGCCTGGCTTGCAGAAGCTGGGCTTCTGGCTTGAGAGACCTCCTAAAAACACTTATTGAAGAGAACGGTTTCTTGGCACAGGGTTCAAATCTGTGACTCACGACTTACGGTCCAGCCCAATGCCACTTGTCATCTCGACCAGTATAGACTTAATTTTCCTTCTTTTGGGAGGATAGAACCATTTTAGTGGGCTGGTTTATAGCTTTTCTGCAGTGAGCCCTAATTTACAGCTGAGCTGCGATTCACCCCATGGAAGAGAGAATAAGAGAGAGAGAGAGCGCGCCCAAAGGCCTATGCACAATTTAAGTCTCACATAAGCTTTCAAATGGAAAGGAAGTCAAGCATAGCATTGCGGTCACAATATCTACCTGGGGAGTCCTTGCGTTAGGCTTGTCGTGCATTATTTATCTGGAGCAACCCCTTCCTTTTTTATGGTGCCAAGTCCCACAATCGGAGGAGCTTGTATAACACATACTCTTCATCCAAACCAGCGATGACCTGGGCAGAGCCACCTGCCTCTCAGCTTGAGATTGGATACCAGCGGCCGTGAGTCCAGGGAAAGCGAGCGGTAGGCAGTTTGGGAGCCTCAGCCATGATCAGACTTCTTTGCGGTGAGCGCTGACGGGGGATATCACGAGGGACTGTTGCTACTCTAAGTAGGCAAGACAGACACAGGGTAGGGAGCTGCCCCAGGCCCTGGCTAAGCTGGGAAAAGAAAGCAGCAGTGACACAATTACTTTGTTGAGGCTCGAATGTCAGCCAAGGTCTCTTGAGATGTAGGCTGGCACCCTTGTCTCCTGGGGCACTTAGTTTCTCAAGGATATGCTTGCCGAAAACCTGGCTTAGTGCCTGTCATCACCCACCAGGCTTGTCATCTCACTCCCAACCAAACAAAGGAGACCCACACTTGTGGCTAGTTCTCTTTGGCTCTTGTAAGAGGGTCCACATTCAGAGACCTTCTGGTTTCCCTTCTCTCAGCAGTGACTCTCACCCAGCCCCTTAACCCCTAGGGAAACCACTGGTGTTGCTCAGAGCTCACTGCATTTCTAGGTCCCACCAGCAGAAGCCACAACCCTTGGGTCTGCCCCCAAAGTCTCCGCACACTGCATGTGGGTTTATGGCATGCTCCTTTTAACCTGCTGCAGAGCCAGGGTTGTCTCGACTTGCTGCTTTGTCCCTAATGCTGGATTTGGAGAGAAGGCAGCATGGCCAGAGGCACATCTGTTAGCGGTTAGTAGATTTCTTCACAGGACATCATTTTTAAAGAAAAAAATCTTTAAGGATCCTTATAACAGAGGGCTGGGCATGTCTAGAGCTCAGCTGGGACCCAGCCAGCATTTTACCAGGGTAACGATATCAGCAAATACAGCTTGTTCCTATGGTTACTAAACCAAAGAAATGCTTATGTAATTGTCCCAGGAAAGGGTTAAGCCGTGTGTTTGACAACATGTACAACTATCTGGCTTATGTGTACTGCTCGTTATCGCACCTCTGCCGAGTACAACAGAAAGCATATTGCCAAAGAAAAGGTATTTACTTTATCGCTACCCCAGGCCTTGTTTATATGGGCCCTTTCCTTGCACTGCAAGCTACTGCGTTAACTTGTTTTACCCCGGTGGCATCTGAGTCCGGTGCGTTCATTAGCAGGAACCGAGTCTCCAGTCAAGTAGTCATGCCCATCAGTGTTGCATCCTGCTCTATACCCAATGCACAGCTGAAATGACTGTGGTTCAGCTTCTGGTTACAGAAAGCAGTTTCTAGCTTGGGATCTCCTGCCTCTACTCTGCTGTGCCATCCCTTGGTCTAT